CTATTGAGAACAGGAGTCCAAACAAAGAGTTTACAGAAACAGCTCTAAATAGAGGGGTGGATGGTTAAAAAGGAAAACATACATGTGCAGGTAATGTTATTAGATGAGTCCAGAAACAAAGCTCACAATCGGAGACGAAAAGAATGACAGCCTCAAGAAGTTAAATTAAAGAAAGATTATCATTGGCTTCTTGATCATTAAGATTTATATGGAAGGAAAGAGTTCCCTGAGAGTACATCACCCACCAACATCTACATCAATCGTTTTTGGAGATTGTGAAGGGAAAATAGCATTGATTAGCTGAAACTGGTCCCCAGTTAACTGCGCTACCATATACATCTTGCTTAACTGGCTTAGTACTAGCTAATATCTTCCAGAAAAGAGTTATGATGAAAAGGTTGAAAATGGGCATAAGCATGAAAAAAGCTGAAGAGATCCAACCTGTGTTGAAATTCTCAAGTTTAATATGTGAAAGACATTTAAATGATCAGGCATTTTTTTTTTTGGAAATAGCAAGTATAGTATTCTCATTAAGTATAGGCACCGAGGGGGTGCCACCCATGTACAGAATTATTAACAAATCACTAAGCACATCAATTAATTAAGCAAAGAATTCCATTTAAAATGATAAGCTGGTGAATCACAAAAAAGAAGTAACTTGGACTTTGATTATTCTCTTTCCTCCAAAATAACAATACCTGAGAGGAGAAGACTTGGAACCATTGGACAAACTAGGGGATGGTGGATGTCTGCCTGGTAATGGTATTTGCAACGTCTTCAAAGCAAACATCTGAAGATCAGTGGCCAAGCAATTCAATCTCTTGATGTCCGCGACCTACACATAACAAAGTATTGTCCATGAGAATTGAGAATTAAAAAAGACCGAAAAGTCTCGGTATCATCATCTTCCAAACCAAACAAACTGACAATATGAACATAAAACCAAAAGTTAGCTTACATGACCACCAACAAAATACAAACTCAAAGAAAATGGGTATATCCAAGCATGAACAAATCATATTAAATAAAATGTAAGGTTCATATTTAAAGAACCAAAAAAAAAATCTGGTTCATACCATGTTTGGATTGAGAGACGAACGGGAAAAAGAAAGGAAGGGCTGTCCACCCTCTTTTGCCTCATTTAGATGAAAAAAGTAACTAGGAGAAGAAAAGAAGAGACTATGAACATTCCATTTTTCCTTAAGACTCCAAGTTTTCTATTAAAAAAGAATCGAAGCGGATTACAAATTTTAGATGAAGAATTTTATATTTCACACTTTCACTTACTTGTCATTCTATTAATTTTTATATTATTAATAAAAGAGTATTAGTGAATATTTTTCTCATATCTAATAATTTAAAACTAAACCAAACAAAATTCTGAAAACAATACTTTCATTTCCTTTCAATTTCTAGTTATGCAACATTACTTCATCACTTTTAATTTCTCAATTTTTCAGTTATTCAAAAATGGAAAAATGTTTCCTTTCATCTCTTTCTGCAAACCATACCTTTCCTTTCCTCCATATTCCGTTACTAAAATTTTCTCAAACATTCTGGAAGTGAGTTCACACCGAGAAACTTCCAAAAATAGATTTGCCACATCTGGATCACCGAAAACGCTTTCTTCTACTATACCCGGATTTGAGTTTGCACAATCAGAATTTCAAAGAGAATCAAGAAGCAAACAAAAGGAGAAATATACCTCGACACCATACTTGATGGCGACACCGGCAAGCGTGTCGAACTTGGAGACTTCGTGTTGTATGTAATTGTTGCTATTATGATTCTGATTAGCTGAAATTGTAGCCGTGGAAGGAGACATCTGCTGATTCGCGTCGATTATTAACCAGATCCAACCTCCTTACCACTTCCACAGACTGAAAAAGAAATGGAGAGAGACGAGAGAGAGACGGAGAAACTTCCTTCTTGCTGTGATTTAACAACAGTGGAAGTTGACTCCGACCACTGAAATCAAATCTCAGTTCTTAAAACTTCAATTAAGAAATTGCGAATTTGGGAGATGAAATGAACATGGAATCAAACTTTTAAGAAAGAAAAAAAATGGAATTCTCCAATTCTACAATCATGGGATTCCTACAATAAACAAGATAAAGAAATTAACAACAACAGCCGAAAGAAAAAAAGGCTAAATAAAGAAGAATTATGTTTAAACAAATTGAGAAAAAGAAAGGAAGAAGATGGAGTAGAGACGATGAAGAAGTGGGAATCGTAACGAGTTTGGTGCTAAATAAAGCTCATGATTATTTTAGTCCGGTTAAAAAAATTCTTATATAAATTAATTAACTAATTAGTTAATTAATTAATTTTATAATACGTTTTAATTTTTAATTAATCTCATAATTAAAATAATAATAATATTAAATTATTATTTTTTAACTTTGACTTTTGGGAAAAGCCTGCCTATAATTATTTGCCTACGCGGTTTCACCGGAGGAACGACTACCGACAACCGACGCATCGGAGTGGGAACTTTTCGGCATTTCCTTTTCTCTTTTTTAAAAAATCATTATTATTATTATAAAAATATATGGTCGTCATTTTTAGCATGTGCATGTTGATGGAATAAATAATTAAACAAATTATATATAAAATTTATTTATTATTATTTCAATTCATACCCAACATTTAGTTTTATTTTTTATTTTTTGGTTTTCTTAATAAAATTTAATAATTAAAATTCAAGTCATATTTTCATAAAGATGTAACATATATTAGTTGAGTGGATAGCAAAAATCTAGGGTTTTCATATATGAGAAAGCAAAAAGGTGGCTTTGCTTCAAACAGAAGAGATGAAGATGTTTATTGAACATTGATTTTCATGCCTAAAGAAGAGGGTGATTGGATGATTACCACAAACTAAAATATATAAATCACAAATATAAGTAAAATATCAAGTATATTTTCTTTTACAAAAATTAAGAACACCATTTTGTTTATATGAAAATTATAAACTCTTAGAATCTACAACTTGAGCTTCATAAATAGAATTCTTCGTATTATTTTAACAAATTCAAAAAATAAAAATTAATATTATTAGATAACAAGAAACAAAATTTTTCAGGTCAAGTTAGTTGTATCATTCTACTAATGTAATAGTAAATAAATGATTACAATAAGTTAAGAAGCAAAAGTAGAATAAATTAAAGAGTCCTACAAAGTGGATCTTCTTATCAAATTTCATAAAATTTTGAGCTCCATGCTTTTAAAAACAAACGAA